CCATGCCTGTGAGCCATAGGTTTGGTCTTTTTACAGTGTCCAGAGGTCTCGCATATTCCATCCTGGCTTAGTTTAGATCTGACCTTTTCTTTGGTTGAGTGACCCACTTTCTCAAGCTAGTCTTCAGAGTTGGATATTCTCTGTCCGTTTCCTGCACTTCCTTTGTGCTTCTTTCCTCTACATTTTTTGAGTTCCTGAGTTTTTGGTTTCAGGTTTTATTTCAGATTGACCTTTCTTCAGAGACTCTCTCTCTTTAATGAAGAGTTTTGTGTTTTGAATTGTTCTAGTTATTTCATCTGACTTTGTTCTCAGTCTTCATTCAGTTTTTGGTTCATATCCTCTTTGAAGTCCTTGAACATACTTGTAATTGCTACTTTGAAGTCATTGTCCTGTGCTTCTACTTGATTGTCATTCTCAGGAAACATTACCATGGGGCTGTTCATTTCTATAATATGCATATTGTCTTGGTTGTTCATATTGCTTGTTTTTCACTGAGGCCTGGGCATCTGGACTTGCATGATGCTGGGTCTTGGTATGGATAAGTGATCTTGTCCTTGTTGAATGTTTGTTTGTGTCTTGTTTGTTACGTCCCCTTCTTGTCAGGTTAGTATCCAGCTGAGTAGTGCTTGGTGTTCAGTTTTGGTGCTGGTTTATGTTGATGTGCAATTTGGGTGGAAGAAGTGGTCTTAATTCAGCTAGAGCTAGTGCAACTTCTGAGTTGTGTTTTCAGGATTGACTGCACAGAGCCCTGGATGGCAGGATGAAATGGGGCTGCTACATAAGCAGTTTGGCTGATATGGTAGGGTGGGAATTTGCAGGTCTGGGGTGAACAGAGCTGAGATAGGGAGGTTTCAAGGATGGAAAACTGGAAACTGGAAGTCTGGGACAGGTGAGGATCCCAGAAACCCAGGCTGGGCTGAGAGCTGAGATTGTAAGGATTGATTCAGTTTGCCAAGAAGAGATGTGCTCAGTTCTGGAATGAGGTAGGATCCCTGTAACCCCAGGAAATCTGAGAGCTAGTATGGCCGGGCACTAGGGAGTCTCAGGGACGGAGCTCCAAATTTCAAGCCTGGGGTTGGGGAGGATCCTAGAGCCCCATGCCGGGCTGAAAGCTGAGGTGCTGGGATTGACTCACTCTGCCAAGGTGAGGTGTGTGTCATTCGGGATGGAATAGGATTCCTATGTGACCCAGGGAATTTTGAGGGCTAAGGTGATGGGTACTAGGGAGCCTAGTGTCTTTATCTCTTGTGACTGACTTTGGATTGAAATATACTTAACATGTAGACATAGGTACTCCCACCTGTTTCCAGTTCCCTTTGCTTGGTATATTGACTTCTATCCTTTCAGTTAAGTTTTTCTGTCTTTGCCAGTGAGGGGTGTTTCTTCACAACGGTTGTTTGGATCTTTTTTATTTATGTGTGTGTCTGTGTGTCTGCTTCATGTGTCGGGTGCCTGTGGAGGCCAGAAAATGATATTGGATCCCCTGGAGGTAAAGTTAGCAGTGATGGTGAGCTGCCCAATGTCTGAACCAAACTTGAGTCCTCTGGAAGAGCAGCAAGTGCCCCTAAGTGCTGAGCCATCTCTCCAGCCTTTTCATCTTGGTTTTTAACTGACTGGTTAGTCTGTGTTCTTTAATTGGAGAGTTAAGACCATTTATACTCAGGGTTATTATCATTGGGGTTTGTAGACCCCTGATATTTGTTGGTTGGTTTCTTGTTGCTTCGTTTATTGTTCCTTTGTGTCTCCCTGATGTGTGCTAGGGACTGCCTGACTGAGTTGAACATAATTGATACTTTTGTTGTTTTCCTGTATTCATTTATTTCTCTCATGAAGTTTATTCTTTGCTGTGCTCTCATAATTGAAAGTGTCTTTCTCCTCTGTGTGAGATTTCTGGTTTGGTGGTCATGAATTGCCTTATTTAGTTTTGTCTCGGAGTATATACCACTCTCAATTTAAAAAGATAACCTTACTGGATATGGTCATCGTGGTTTGTGGTTACTTTCATAGCATGAATTATATTAGCCCATGATCTCCTGACTTTGAGGGTTTCTGCTAAGAGGTGTCTGATAATATTCTGATGGATTTGCCTTTGTAAGTTGACACTTTTTCTCTGATGGTTTAGAATTGCTTCTTTGTTTCGTAGTTTTGGCATCCTGACTAGAGTGCGTCTCAGAGGGTTCTTCTCTGCTCGTATCTGTTTGGGGTTCCAACTGCCTCATGTGCCTAGGTGTTCATTTATTTCCCTAGATTTGACAATTATTTGATGTTACTTCATTGACTAGATTTTCTGTCTTTAGTTTTTATTGTAGCTCTTCCTACCTTTTGAATTCTTAGGTTTAGTCTCTTCATTTTGTATCCACGTTCTTGGAAATTGTGGTCATCTTCATTATTATTCTTACTGCTGTCTGAATGTGGTACTTCCTTGAGCTTGTCTTCTAGAGCTCTTTCTCTGTGTTCTCTTCATCGAGATTCTTGGTGATGATTTGTATCTTTTATTTGATTGAGTTTTTCTTTATCAACATTTGTTTAGTTTCTTTTTTCTACATTAAAAATTTGTTTTTGATTGATTTTTATTTTATGTATATGAATGTTTTGCCTGCATGTATGTAAATGCACCATGTGTTGTGCACTGCTCACAGAGACCAGAAGAGGGCGTTGGAGCCCCTGGAGCTGGAGTTGTAGACAGTTTTAGCCATTGTGTGGGTGCTGGGAACTGAATCCTGGTCCTCTCCAAGAGCAGCCAATGCTCTTAACTGCTGAGGCATCTCTCCAGTATTTGAATTCTTTTCTTTTTTCCTTTAATCTCAGTTTTCTTGCTGAATTTCACATCTGTGTTGCTGACACTTTTATTTATTTTAAACATTTAATTTTGTGTGTGTGTGTGTGTGTGCATTTGTGCACAGGTACACTTGCCCATGTGTGCACATACTTGCCAGAGGGCAACATTAGGCATTTTCTATATTGTTTTTTTACTTTATTCATTGATACAGGATCTCTCATTGAACTGGAGCTTTGTCTGTCAGCTAGATTTCAAGAGAGAAACTGATTAATCTGTAAAGCCAAAGGAAATGATGTAGCACTATTCTCTGTATATGAGCTCAAAAGAATATTTGTAAGGACAGAACATTACAAAAATGAGGATAATAATCTTGGGCCTGGAGGATAAGAGCATGTTCTACTCTTGAAGAGGACCTGAGTTGATTTCCAGCACCCACATCAGGTGTCTCAGACCTGCCTGTAATTCCAGCTCCAGGGGAATCTGTTGCCTCTGGCCCCTATGGGTACCTGCACTCACATGTGCACCTCTCACATACACATAATTACAAATTATAAAAATAAATTGTAAAGACATAATAATGACCTAATGGCTAGATATGGAATGTTACACACTAATTAGAAAGTTTTGCAGGTACATCTGGAGCTTATAGAAGAATTAGACATCTACTTTGCTATGAAGCATGACATTTTCTGATGTATCTGTATGTATTAGAAACCAATACGAAAAATGCCAAGGAAGATGCATCCTGCAGGAAGTGTAGAATTCAAAACAGCACATGATGAGGGAAGTAAGCATGGTGCTAAGTACATAGTTCAAAACTTAGAAAAAGAACAGAAGTCCAAAATAAATTAGGATGTGTGTGAGTACAGGTGTGCACTTGTGCATGTATGTGTGTGAGTACAGGTGTGCACTTGTGCATGTATGTGTGTGAGTACAGGTGTGCACTTGTGCATGTATGTGTGTGAGTACAGGTGTGCACTTGTGCATGTATGTGTGTGAGTACAGGTGTGCACTTGTGCATGTATGTGTGTGAGTACAGGTGTGCACTTGTGCATGTATGTGTGTGAGTACAGGTGTGCACTTGTGCATGTATGTGTGTGAGTACAGGTGTGCACTTGTGCATGTATGTGTGTGAGTACAGGTGTGCACTTGTGCATGTATGTGTGTGAGTACAGGTGTGCACTTGTGCATGTATGTGTGTGAGTACAGGTGTGCACTTGTGCATGTATGTGTGTGAGTACAGGTGTGCACTTGTGCATGTATGTGTGTGAGTACAGGTGTGCACTTGCTTTGGCATGTGTGTGAAAGTCTGCGGTCAGCTCTCAGGAGTGGTTTTTTTCCTGTCCCTTGTGTGATCTGGGAATTGGACTCGTTCTTTAGGCCTGCACTAGTGCCCTTACCCTCTGAGCTGTCTCACCAGGCCATGACTTTTTATTGCTGACTTTCTGTTCTACATTGTGACCCGATTTCCTTCCTTCATTCATCTGCTTGTTTGTTTCCTCCTGAAGTCACTGATGGTTATTACAAGTAGATCTTTAGATTCTTTGATAGTTCAACCATTTTATTATCTTTAGATTGAGCAATGGAGGAGGTAGGGTGTTCGGTAGGCATTGTATCTCCCTGCTTTACCACATTTCTTGGGTTCTGTGCTTCAATTTGCAAATATATTTGTTTGGTTCAGGGCTTCTTACACTATAAATAGAAGCAGATAATGAGACCCAGATGGACATTAATGTTGCATTTGTAGAATTCCACTAAACGAAGGAACTGCAAACAACAGAACACCCGAGGACACCCACACTGCTCTACTTGGCTTTGCTGCCTCCAGGCCCCAGAAATGACATTTAGTTTGAAGTATTTGGGATTAAAACAGCCCCACTGTGGTGGCAGATCCCTCATGAAAGTTAACCTGAGGTTTCCTGGTTCTAGCTCACTTTTAAAAAGAAATAGATTTGTTTTGTGGAGCTAATATTTAACTTTATTTTGGTTCTGATTTGCTTCAGATGGAGGTTCAGAAAGTAGAAGGTCTTTGTACACAGGTGGGAGTTGGGAACAGTGAAGAAGTAAGCAGCAGCAAACTCTGAACCCTTTCTTCTCCTTCCCTCGGTGGGGCGGAGTCTTGGTCCACTGCAGCTGGTGTTTCAGTCCTTAAGGACTATACATTAGGAGCCTCTGCCGTTACTTAAAGTACTCAAGGATGCCAAAATAATTTATTTTTCAGGTGGAACATTGAGAATATATGCAGACAGTTTAAAACCAAACATTCCCTACAAGACAATCCTGCTGTCAACTACAGATCCTGCAGACTTTGCCGTAGCTGAAGCTTTAGAGAAGTATGGTCTGGAGAAAGAAAACCCCAAGGACTACTGCATCGCCCGGGTATGTAACTACCAAGTAGGCAGGTCTCCTAGTGCTACTCACACTAGGGCTTTGCATTTAAAGGAGAGTCTCTCTTTATTTGTTATTATTTCATTTTTTATTTGTGTGCTAGCCAGAGGTTGGCATTGGACTCTTCCTTGATAGCTTCTGTACCTCCAGGTTTGGAGATAGCTTCTTTCATTGAATGTAGACGTAGAATCGGCTAGGCTGGCTAGATGACACACCTGGGTTTTTTTAAAAAAAGATTTTTATTCTTTAATAATTTTATACATGTGGGGCTGGAGAGGTGGTTCAGCAATTAAGAGCACTTGCTGTTCTTCCAAAAGACCTGAGTTCGATTTCCAGTACCCACATGGCATCTAACAACAGTTCTAGGGGATCCAGTTTCCTCTTCTGGCCTCCACAGTCCTTATACGACATGGGCACACTTTCGTACATGCAGGCAATACACTCATACACATAAAAATGATAAATAAAATATTAAAAAATAATTCTATACATGTATGCAATATATTTTGATCTATTTATTCCTCACTCCCCTCCCTAACTCTCCCAGATCAACTCCCACTCCTCACCCCCTCCTAACTTTATCTCCTCCTTTTTTTTTAAAAAAAAAAAAAAAAAAATCCACTGAGTTCTGTTTGTGTTGCCCATATACTCACGGGTATGGGGCCATCCACTTCAATGCAGTCCACCTACCAGGGCCTTCTCCCAAAGCCATCAACTGTTGGTAGCTCCTCAGAGATGGAGGCTTGGGAGTCCCTCCCTGCTCCATGGTGGAGTGTTGACTGGCCTCATCTTGTGCAGGCAACCACAGCTGCTGGTGAGTTCATGAGCACAACGGTCCTGTCATGTCTAGAAGACACTGATTTGGTCTGTTCTTCCCCCACCCTCTGGCTCTGACAGTCTTCTTGTCCCTCCGTTCCTCAGTAGCTGTGAGCCTTGAGTGGAGAGGGGTAGTGTACGTCCATTTGTGGCTGAGTACTCCGAAGGCACTTACCCTCTGCATGTGGGCCGTGTTGTGATTTTCTGCGTTAACTGCCATTCACTACACAGACGGGACTGTTGGTGTTTTTCAGGTTTTGACTCTTTATTTGTGAGCATATGTGTGCAGGTCTGCTTACAGACATGTTTTATCTTGCATGATTGCTTACCCACGACTGTAATGACTTACTAATATGGTGATGTGCATGTATCTTTTTGGGAAACTAGAAAACTGGTTTCCAGAGTGGACAGCATTATACCCCTTACTGGAAAAGCGTTCCAGTTGTTCCTGTTCCTCACCTGTACTTGGAATCACTTGTTCTGTTTGTGTTTAAATGTGACTGTTCTCACTGCCATGCAGTGGTAGCTGATCAGAGCTTCAGTCTTAGCATCCAGTTCTGTTTGTGTTGTACTGTAGGTCTCTGCTTGTCTTTTCCTTTTGAAAATGATGTCTTTCATGAAGTAAAAGGTTTTGAATTTCGTTAAGTCTGGCTTCTTACCTGTCTCTCCTCTGTCGTTTCTGTGATGTCAGGAGTTAGCCTTCTCCAGGGTTGCAGACGCTTCCATCATTCCCTGTTGTCTACCTTTAATTTAATTTTTTTTGCCTTATATTTATTTATGATTTTGTATGTGTCCACATGCCTGCATCATGGTCTGAATGTGGAGGTTATGGGCAGGAATTGGTTTTTCCTTCCACTGTGTGTGTCTTGGGGCTCGAACTCAGTTGTCAGGCTTAGTGACAAGTGCCTTCATCTGCTGGGCCATCTCACCGGTTCATACCTTTAATTTTTAGTTGTAGCTTTTCTATTTAAATCAGTATGTTCCTTTCAAGTTATTTTTCCCCCATTGAGATACCTAGTTGGTCAAGCGGCTTTTGTTGCAAAGACTTGTGTTCTCCCCCCACGGAACACTTCGGCACCTTTGCTCATTGTCACTTGGTTTATTTATGTGGTATGCAGTATGTGCTTGTCTCGTCCACTGATCTCTATAGCTGTCTTTCTCCTGTACCTGAATGCTTAGCATCATGCCTAAAACTGGCCTTCCTTAAGTGTTTGCCAAGGAGAGGTTTTTATATGAGTCTGGTACTCATCAGTTCATAGAACTATATGATTTGGTATGTGATGATGACCTTTGTAACGTATTCATCTTTTAAAAATTTGTGGCTTGCTTTTACTGTTAAAATTACAAAGTAAAATAGCATTTTATCAGGGACTTAACGTTGTAAAAGCCTACTCTGGGCACTATTGGCAGTCCTTTCTGAGCATATTTGATGATTTTTTTAGAGGGCTCTTCTGCTGTGGTTGGCCTTTTGCTGTGATCTGACCATCTTCAGCAAGCTTTGGCAGTTCAGCTCAAGCTTTGTTCATTGTTTTATCTGAATTAGAAATTCTTTATATTCTCAGTGTTCCAGTTTGTCTCTCCACTGCTGTGACAAAATACTCTGACGAGTACCATATTGGGGAGGAAAGGGTTTATTTGTCTTACATCTCCCAGGTCACAGTTCATCAGGGAGCCCAAGGTAGGAACTCAGGGCAGGAACCTGGAGGCAGGAGCTGGAGCACAGGCCATGGAGGAGTGCTGCTTACTGACTTGTTCCCCTGGTCCCTGCTCAGCCTGCTTTCTTATGCAACACAGGCCCACCTGCCCAGGGGTGGCACCACCCAGAGTGGGCTAGGCCCTCCCACGTCACTCAACAATCAAGATGTGCCTCACAGACATGGCCACAGGCCAGTTTAATGGAGGCAATTCCCCAATTGAGGCTCCCTCAATCCAGTCAACTAACGCTATCCTGCACACTCAGCTTGCCATTTTATAAAGTAGAGCAGTCTTACTGCCTTCGTTCAGTGTATCTAGTCAATTACTAAGTATTTGGGTCTTCCTGTTTGTTGGCTGTTATGCTGGAATATGGAAATGAGCACTGTCCTGAAAGAGTCACAGCAATGCAGGGGGACTCAAAGCCCAGGGAGCAGACTGGAAATGGGCTTTCAGGGCTGACCCATGGGCCTGGTCTGGGGACTCTTAGTACTTCATGTTCTAAGGATAAAGCATAAAAACAGGTAGCACAGATGGAGAGAGCGAGAAGAAATAGCTAAAGGGTCTAGTCCTGAAGTGGTAGGATATTGAATTTAATGGAAAATACTAATAAAGATTAAACTAGCATTAGCATAAGAGGTCCTATAATACCTCGTCTTCTTAAGCTAATTTGAAGCATCGTGGACAGGAATTACAGGTTTCTACAAAATTGTCTAATGGGTTTTGTCTGTAAGCATGATGATAGGGTGGTAGGTCTATTACGGTAACACTTTTGCCTTAACAACATGTTGAAAACAGTGGCTTGGCTTCTGTTTCTGTAGCCTTGCCATGGTTCATGTGGACCCTGATTAGAGTGAAGAAAGAATGTAAACCCTGCAGTGTCTAAAGGCCATCAGTTGTCTTCTTCTCCAGTGCCGTCTTTCTTGAGACTTTTTTGGGTGAATGAGAAAGTTGGCTATGGGGGTGGATGCATGGTGCCACGCCCCATGGTGGCAGGCACAAACTAGCAAGTGGTTTCAACCACCCTACCATGCCATGCTCCAGTTCACCTCTTGCACAGGCAAGAAAGGACTTAACAGTTAAGAAAGAAAATGGCTGAAGACCTAGGGTGGTGGTGGTGGCTTTTGGCAAAATACCACTCTGGGTTAGATGTCTCTCATCACTGGCTCCCCCTGGCCAGGGAGGAAGATGTGAAGTCTGCAATTGCCAAAAAGAAAAAGAAAAAGCCAACCAGAACCTTGACCATGAAAAAACAACAACAAAACATGCAATCCATCTGTCTCCTTAAGTGAAGGTGAGAGGTGGTTTTCTCCATTATCCATATCCCCTAAGCAAGAAATTCAAACCAGTAAGTTACTGTTGCGTTTGTTTGCTGCACAGACGTCAAAATGCTCTCTTAAACACAAGTATAATTGTGTGGACAGAGCAATGGAGACAGGAAAATGACAGAAACCAGTATACTTGAAATAGTGACCCCCCTCTCGTGAGCTTGAAACTGCGTCTGCCTCCTGTGAACCTGAAGCTGGAATCTCTTCCCATGAACCTAGAGCTATGTTTCTGTCCTGTGAACCTGGAACTATGGTTGTCTCTCATGAATTGGAGCTGTGCCTGTCTTCTGTGAGCCAGAGCTGAGGGGACTGTCAATGCCTTTTGTGAACCTGGAGCTGTAGTCCTAAGAACCTAAAGTGGGAGCGCCCTTCTGGGAGTTGAAGCTGGGGTCTCCTCCTATAAACCTGGAGTTGTGGTCTGGACCTCCCAGTGACTGGAGCTGAGATCCCCTTCCAGGTGCCAGAGTTGTAGTCCCCTCCTGTGAGCTGGAGCTGTGGTCACTTCCATCGAACTTGGAGCAGAGAGTCCTTCTTGTGAACTAAGGCTGTGGTCTCTTCCTGAGAGCCAGAGCTGTGTTCCCATTCTGTGAACCTGGAGCTGTGGTCACCTCCTGTGAGCTGGAGCTGTGGTCCCCTCCCGTGAACCTGGAGCTGTGGTCCCCTCCCGTGAGCTGGAGCTGTGGTCCCCTCCCGTGAACCTGGAGCTGTGGTCTCTTCCCGTGAACCTGGAGCTGTGGTCCCCTCCCATGAACCTGGAGCTGTGGTCCCCTCCTGTGAACCTGGAGCTGTGGTCCCCTCCCTGGAGCTGTGGTCCCTTCCCGTGAACCTGGAGCTGTGGTCCCCTCCCATGAACCTGGAGCTGTGGTCCCCTCCTGTGAACCTGGAGCTGTGGTCCCCTCCCGTGAACCTGGAGCTGTGGTCACCTCCCGTGAACCTGGAGCTGTGGTCACCTCCCGTGAACTTGGAGCTGTGTTTCCATCCCATGAATCTGGAGCTATAGTCCCCTCTTGTGAGCTGGACCTGTGGTCACCTCCCGTGAACCTGGAGCTGTGTTTCCATCCCATGAATCTGGAGCTATAGTCCCCTCTCGTGAACCTGGAGCTGTGGTCACCTCCCGTGAACCTGGAGCTGTGGTCCCTTTCTGTGAACCGGAATTGTAATCCCCTCCTGTGAGCTGGAGTTGTGGTGCCCTTCCTATGAACTTGGAGCTGTAGTTCCCCTCCTGTGTGCTGGAGCTGTCATCCTCTTCTGGGAACCTGGAGTTCTATTGATTTTGTTTATTTTTTGCTATTTTGAGACAGGGTCTCCCTGTAGCCCCAGCTGACCTGGAACTCACTATGTAAGCCATACTGGCCTTGGTCTCATAGAGATCTGCCTGCCTCTGCCTTCCAAGGTGTGAGCCAACACGCCCAGCTAGTGGAGTATTATTAAGAATACAGTGAACACACTATTATCAAAGAGTTGTTTGACAAAGTTTGTTAAATGAGTGGTTCCATAATATCCCTAAGTGGTCTACTTAAAATTAAATCATACAGGTTATCTACAAGAAAAATTGTTTTGGACCCTTGTTTTGTGACAGGTACATTAAACAATTTCAAATTATATGAAATTACTTTCTTTATAAATATTTGCTTGAATGTGAAAAGATGGAATAGGAGCTACAGAGGTTGAAGATGGCAGTAGAGGAGTTTTCTTTGCTGGAGAAATTACTTGAAGGTTAACCGTTCTATATGGTTTTTCCACATGAAAATTTGTAATAAATGACAATACTTAGTCTTGTTCTTAAGAGGCAATTGAATAAAAATTACCAAATCAGGTTCCTGATCTTTTTATTTGAAAATATTTCCTATATTTTTGTTAATGATTTTTATGGAAATTGATAGTGGTTGGTAAATTAAAATTTAAAGAAAATTTGTGTATATTGAGTATTTTGCCTGCATGTATGTAATGTACCCATGAGTATGATGCCTCTGGAGGTCAGAAGAGGGCTTCAGATCCACTGGAAACTGTAGTTATAAATGGTTGTTAGCTGCCATGATAGGTCCTGGGAACTGAATCTGGGCCCTCTGCAAAAGTAGCTAGTGAGCTAGTGCTCTTAACTGCTGAGCATCTCTCCAGCCTCTGCCCCCTTGTCTTTTTGTTGTTGTTGGTTTTTTGTTTTGTTTTTGTTTTTTTGAGACAGGGTCTCACTATGTAGCCCTGATTGGTCTGGAACTCTTGGAACTCACTATGTAGACCAGTCTTGAATTCACAGAACTCCACCTGCCTCTACCTTCCAGGTGCTAGGATTAAAGGTGAGCACTAACATCAGACATAAGTTTAAATTTTAACTCATGCAGAATGGTACTTTGAAGCCAGACATAGTGCTGCATCACCAGTTCTCAGAAGGCAGGAGAATCTGAGGCCAGCCTGGGCCATACATCAGGACGCTGCCTCAAAACCACAGCTAAACAACAAACAGCAGTGCTTCCTTTGAGTACTTCTGATTTGCTTTTTTTTGTTCGTTATTTTATTAGGTTATGCTTCCTCCTGGAGCCCAGCATTCTGATGAAAGAGGTGCTAAGGAAATTATTCTTGATGATGATGAGTGCCCTCTACAGATCTTCAGGGAATGGCCAAGTGACAAAGGTAAAGAGTAAACTTAATTGTTAAGGGATTACCTCTGTAGTCTGCTGGTCAGATTTCTGCTGCCCCTGTTTATGGGGTGACATAGAAAATATATATGTAAATGTTTTTTGATGCATCTGTGCTGCGGTTGCCCAGGTCTTTCATAGGCTGCACCGTTCCTCAGCGGTACCCTTGCCTTTGGGGCCACGCTCAGCTCCTGTGAGTTTCCTGTGCAGAGGGTAACATGACAGGTGAACAGTGAGACTTAGCACTGGAAGATAATTGTTACGGTCAGCTATAAAACACTGCCTGTACTGACCACCTGAGCTATGTGGTATTTGAACAGGTTTGTGATGATGGGGAAAGTAACTTATAGCTGTCCAGGAATATAGTCATTTCAGGTACAGGCTGAATAATCCTCATTCAAAATATGTGGGGCAGGAAGTGTTCCAGATCTTCGGAGTTTTCAGATTTTGGAGGGCCTTTGCCTTTATAACGAGGCCTCCAACATGCCCATGTTTTGCCTGCTTCCTGCCATGAGTTTGTTTTCCATTTGTGTTGTGTAGGAATTGGTAGTACTTTGTATTTCAAGTGTTTGGATTAGTACGCTCAACTTGTAATGAATTCACATTTGCCATTATTCAAATGCCTTTCTCTAATTAAAAGTTGCAAAGTATTGAAAGCTTTGTTTTTGATGAAATGTAGTTTCTAACGTTAAGATTGGCACCGCAAGTAAACTTGTGAGTGCTTTTATAGTAATGAAGACATAAAAGTCATTGCCACTTAAACATGTCACTGTTGACTATAGAGTGATAGCTTCAAAATAAAACCTCAGAGTAAGCAGATTTCTAGCTCCACTAAAATACTTTATATTTTTTCTAGATAGTTACAAAAGTTAAGCTTTATTTTAAAAATTGCTTTGAATTCTATGTGTGTGAATATGTTGATTATAGAGTTTTCTAAATAAATAAATAAAACATACTTGGTTATTTATTGACGAGGTATCCGCATAGCCCCAGTAGGCCTGGAACCTGCTATAGATAAGACTGATCTTAATCTTGTGGAGATCCCCCTGCCTCTCTGAGTCTGGGATTAAGATGTACACCACCACACCTGGTTTACTCTTTTTTTCTTTGGTCTTTTTCACACAGGGTCTCCCTGTGGGCCTGGAACTCACTATGTAGACCAGGCTGGCTTTGAACTCCCAGAGATCTGCCTGATTCTGCCTCCTGGGTGCCACCAAGCATGGCCTTCTGGTTTATTCTTAAGTTAATATGGTTGTTTACATTGTTTACAAGCATCTGATGTCCTTAGGTAGCTAGCTGTTAACTAAAAATAATCTTTGCATGCTGCTTGTTGGAGTTTTCAGAGCGGAGACAACTACTTCTTTCACTGAATTAAAATATAAATGGGGAGCTTTTGCTCCGTTAACTCCTGGGCAGATGTTATTAAATTAAGTCATCTTGATAATGTTTAGGGCATGACTGTCAATCAGTGACCCTTCCCCCATTCCTACCTCCACCTCCGACCCCCACCTGCTTGGTTGATAATTATCATTGTCTGTTCTAGGGATTTTAGTCTTTCAGTTGAAGAGGAGGCCTCCGGACTATATCCCAAAGAAAATGAAGAAACACGTTGAAGGGAAGCTGCTGAAGGGGAAGGAGAGAGCTGATGGATCTGGCTATGGCTCTGCTCTTCCCCCTGAGAAACTGCCCTACTTAGTAGAGTTAAGCCCAGGTGAGAAGGCCAGCCACAGCAAGAAAAGTGAGGAACAGGCAGTTGTAGTTTTAAGTGTTTCTTCTTTCTAATGCATTGTGTTGGTGTCCAATTTACTTAAAAATTGTAACATTTAGAAAATGACATTTTAAAAAATATACATTGTTTTATGTGTATGAGTGCATTGCCTGCATATGTGTAAGTGCACTGGTGCTCTGTGGTGCCTGAGGAGGCCAGAAGAAGGCATTGGATCCCCTGGCACTGGAGTTACAGACTGTTAGCTACCATGTGAGTGCTGGGAATTGAACCCAGGTCCTCTGAGAGAGCAGCCAGTGCTCTTAACCGCTGAGTTATCTCTCCATTCCCAAGAAAATACTTATTTTTTAAAAAAACTAGGTCACAGATGACATATATTCATGCATAGAAATAAAATTTACATGTTCAAAAATGAATATTGTACAAGACAAAATAATGTGTAGCATTTTAAAAATGTAAAGTTTTAAGAAAAAAATTTCCAAAGTAACTGTGGTAAAATAGTTAATGTACTAGAAACAAAATGAATTTACTCTTCCTAAAGCTGATTTGAGAGAGAGTCAGACAGAGTGAATTCTGTTATTGTTGATGATATATGAACAGTATCCAAAAGGAATACCCTTAGATTTAACACAAAATCTCTTAGTAACCAGAAGGGTATTTTAAAATAATATTCTAAGTTTATTTTCACAGTAGTCCTCTAAATGCATTGTTTGTAGAAACTTATAAGAACGCTAACGCTGTTGTCGTAAACTATCAGCTAGACAAATACATTGACATTATTGAATCAGTATTTTATATATGCACACATTTCTGTGTAGTGTGTTTGCATACTTACCATTCAACCAAAGTTACATCATTTCTCATTTAAAATAGTATTATGTGGCCTGTATTATTAAATATTATAAAGATATTTCATCCACCTCCCCTAATTAGTAATTAAAGGAAAGCCCAATTAGTAATTATAGAAAAAATAGCATAAAATGGAACAAGTTTCAATAACTGTGTGGTTGTTGGACAGGAACTTTTTTTCCTTGATTTTTTTTTTTAAGTGTCCATTTTTATTTGTAAACTTGGTTTAATTTCTCACAGCTGGCTATTAAAATTTAACTACAGACTAGATATGGTGTTTGTGGTTCAAGAATCTTAGGAGACAGCTGGGTTATCTGGTACAGAATAGAATAGTAATGTTGTGAGTGCCGCTCTAATTTGTGTGTGGTTTGAGTGTGGCTCTAGGGTAGTAGTTCTACACTTAGCTTTGCCTGAGGACGTGTTTTCATTGCTTAGATGTTTGTGAGGAATATTTTAGTGTTGCTTTGCCCCTTAGTCCTCTGGGAAATTCATTTGAAGTTTAACTTTCTCACTGTAAATTGGAGGCATGTCCCAGTGTTACTGTGAAAAGCATTGTTGTTTGTTTGTCTGAAGGAAGAACTAGAGTGAAAATACCATTTGTTTTTAATGTACTTTTTCTTTTTTAGGCCCTTTTTAAAAAATATTTATTATTATTATTATTTTATTTATTTTTTTACGTGTATGAGTGTTATGTAGGTAAGTGCACCCATGTCATACAGTGCTCCCGGAGGACAGAAGAGGCTATCTGATCCCCTGGAACTGGAGTTACGGACCGTTGTTAGCTGCCATGTGGGTGCTTGGATTCGAACCCAGGTCTTCTGCAAGAACTGTCAGTGTTCTTAACCGCTGAGCCATCTCTCCAGCCCCTTTAGGCTCTTTTTCAAGCATGGGGTCTGTTCATTAAAATATTCTTTCAGTGCTAGAACTTAAATTTATTTTCTCCAGATCCAGAGGTTTGACAGTTGAAGAGTACTAACTGTTAGCAGCTGACAGAATGATTCCCACTGAGTAGTAGAACGTTGTTTTGGTGGACAGCAGAGGGGCTTGTCGGGCCTGTTTTGGGCCTTCGAGATAGAGCACCAGCATCACAGATCGAGCTCCTAACCTTATAGTCTATGGAGTGTTTCTGTTTTGACGTCTTAGTTTATACTTTCTAAATGTTTTATTTATTTTTTGTGGAAGCTGATAGATAGTAGTTTTGTGCTACTTCTCACTGAACACTGGCACAGCTTTCCTGCATACTCATTAATACATTTCTTGGTGCCTCCGATACCTTCAGTCAGCATTTACTGAGCTCTTGTATAGACAGAGCAGTGATTGAGATGAATAGGACTATCTCTCTGCTGTTATCAGGTGGTATCCATGCTCAGTGTCTATGACTCTCTCCAGGTCTGTACTCCCTTCCAAATCCTCTGGGCTGTGGTGAGACTGTCCTCATCAGTGCACAAGTGTCCAAGGTGGGAAGACATTACCTTTGTCCAAGTCAGGGGTTTGGTGGCAAGGCTCAGTGCTGGAACAAGGTCTTCCTTGCGCCAGAGCCGTGTTCTTTAGGTCATGATGCCTGTGTCTTCGTTATTAATTGCTCTCAGTATGCTGAGCACACACTTTCCTTCTATGAGAAAACAGTACCTATGCATATTCATATGTTATGAATGGATAAAGGCCTATATTTCCACTAGAGACATAGTATCAGCTGCGTTTGCCCTTTGTGTGGAGGACCTGCCAGCTGTGGGCAGGTTTCCAATACGCAGGTATGTGTTTACAGCATTGTAGAGGAATGAAAGCCAGTGTGCTGGGTTATTTTCTTTGTGTTGAACCTGAGTGTGACCTTTAAACAGAAGTGAGCAGGTGGGGGTGGTGACACTCAGGTTCACTCACCTGCTGTCCTGCTGCTTGGTGACTCACCTGCTGTCCTGCTGTTCTCCTCAACAGTCTGCCCTGGTTTCTAAAACACTGACTGAGGTCTCCTGTAGTCTTGTCCGCACAGCTCTGAAAGCTTGCGGATAAAATGTGCCTTTTCTTCCTTTGCAATGTCTCACTGAAGCTCACCCTCTGCATCTCTTCTCCTCCTTCCCTCTCCCACGTATTCTGCATGGTCTCTGTCTGCCGATGCTGCCTTCACCTGGGTCCTGGCATGTCTCTTAACCCCAGGGAGAAGGAGTCACTTTGCCTACTACAGCTATCACACTTATGAAGGTAATGCTATGCTTAATACTACTTTTATAACTGGGACACGTGGCAGAACCTGGTGGGTAAATAGTGTTGACTGAACACTGTGTAAGAATGTAGCTCTGTCCTGTTCCTGCCTTCTCAGGTCTCCCACCCAGACCTGATCTCATGTATTGGAAGCTTGTTTTGCTGCCGTTGTTTCCCACACTCACCCTCAGAAGTGAATGAAGACAGAGGACTGGCTACAGAATTGTCCTAGACTGAAAACAGGGCCTTTACGTGCTCTAGGGCTGTGTCATGGTCTGTGTCCCTTTCATAGGTCACAGGCTGAGCACTCTTCACCTGAAAAATGGAAACTTTGAGTGTTCACATGATGCCAGAAGGGAAAGTGCCACACCTGAAAGTGGGTGTAGTCAGCACTGAGGCATACCAGATATGTTGGATACAGTTTTCTGTACATGTTTGTCCAGGTGTATGTGAGGTCGTCCTAACATTCATGTTTAAACTTGGAGTCCATCATCAAGATATATTAGATATATGTAAATATCACAAAATCAGAAAAATTTGCAATCTGAAACTTGGGCTGGAGCTTTGGTACTGTATCTGCCATGAGGTAGCTTAGTGCTGGCCTGCCCGGAAAAAGCTACAGATCTCCTGATTCTTTACTGGAGAGGCATCAGGTACTGTGGGCAGTTGACTATATAAAGTGTTCTTTGGAGACAGGCCATTTGGAATGGGGGTTGAGGGAGTATTTGCAGTGTTTGTGTTTGTGAGATTATCAGTTTCCAGTGCAGACCTACAGGTGGGCTGCTGCTCCTCCTCACTCAGCCCTCTCACCCAGCTTTGACCAGATGTTCTGTCACCCACTGAGCCTGTGGCCTTTAGGTTCTCCACAGTCTTCACAAGCTTGTGTCTGGTTTTCTGTTGTTACAGTGAAGTGCTAAGAAAGGAGAGATGGGGAAAGCAACTTTCTCCCTGTTCTGTTACTTCCTCTTCTGTGGTGTAGAAGGTGGATAGTGTATCTCTTTGCTATTTCACAGAAGATTGGTAGGAACTTGCTCCCCCAGCAGATGTGTCTTTCGTGTTCTTTGGCCTTGACTCACACAGTTACTATTTTGCTCCTTTGGCTTCTTTGTGATTCATTTGTGTGGTTTGTGTGCCTGTATCACTCTTGTTTTTAGTATAATTGTTTGCTTTTAGCACATTGATTCTTACAGAAGGCCAGTCTGACCTAGCCACCAAGGGGGAACCAAGTCAGTGGTTTGTGAGCTGCTTAGGACAGTTGGAGCAAACACAGGAGTAAACGTTCTAGAAGAGTCTATAGACTGCCCAATCCAGGAAGAGCCCAGGTGGCTTTGGTTTTGTTTTTGAGACAGGGTCTCACTATGTAGTTGAGGTTGGCCTTAAAGTCCTGATCCTCCTGCCTCAGCCTCCAAAGTACTAGGATTAGTCATGTACCACCATGCTTAGCTTCTTAAGTGATTTTGATGTCTCGTTCAAATCGAGCGTTCGTAAGAGCAATTAGACTTGAGAATCGGTGTCTGAGCATGAAGGGAAGCAACACAACCAACCCGTGTTGGGGTTCACACCGGGTACTGGTGTAGATAGACACTCTAGTCTCCATGTTGGGGTTCACACCGGGTACTGGTGTAGATGGACACTCTAGTCTCCATGTTGGGGTTCACACTGGGTACTGGTGTTAGATGGACACTCTAGTCTCATCTTACCTCCCCTTGTGTCTTAGAGTTCTAGAGTTCTTTGTAAAGAGAAAATTACATCATTAGGATGTTGTTTTGTGTACTCAGTGCTAACAGACCTGCACACTCATAGTGTCTTTGGTTTGTAAGATTTTAGACCACCTCACAGGCTGACAGAGACTTTAGCAGTCTTTATGTGCCTACACCCTCCAAATGTTGACCTTCTGAACTTCTTGTAGCTAACATCTGATTCCGGTGATTGCAGATTTGAATAAGTGACTGAAAGTTACTTGATCAGTCATGAAACAAGTCTGGCAGACACTCACCTTTTGTGGTGTTTGCAGCCTAGACCAAATGTCATGGCTGTGGTATATGTATAGAAGCTTGAAATTGTGTACTAATAGTTGTATTCTATGAGGTACACTTTGTTATATGTTGACCCTGCAACCAGGGAGCTCTTCAGTGAAAACCCTCTTGTACCAAGTAAGTCAGGAGTGAGCGGGGACAGGGTGACAGTGCTGCGTCCTCTGCCCTTCTGCTCCTGCCCACAGAAGTTTCCAAGCTTCTAGAAATTACATTCTGATAGTTCAGAAAGGTGTTAAGAACAAAAACAAAAAAAACCTTTCCTTTCTGCCCTTGACCCCAGCTCTCCTGGAGGAAGTTCTTCGTTAGACTTAGCATCTTTTGTTGGCGGTAGACATTGGAGTCCCTTGGGACAGTGGTACCCAGGCCTTACCCCTAGGACCTTGGGTGTCTGGGTGAGCTGGGAGGGTCGCACAGTTAAAAGCCCCATCACGATACAGTTGTGCCTCAGCAGCTGTGCTGTGCGGGGGACTCTTAAGAGTGCACAGCACTTTTGTCCTACAGAGGCTGAGGTCATGGTTGGATGTCCCTCACTCTCTGTTGTCAGTACACTTCCGTCTTCAGAATCACTAAGGGAGGTCTAGGGAAGTTTGGTAAAATAAAAGCATGAAACCAGAAAATGTTGGAGTCGAGGGTAGTCTTAGCCTTTTATATTGAACAGAAGCCGAGTTGCTTCTTTGAAGTTTCTGTGTCCACTTTGTTGAATTGTATAATGTAAGTTGGAGACTTCTTGGAAAGAAATTCTGAGAAGTAAGAACTGTATTGTCCTTAGTCAGATGACCTTTTATTTGATTCAAACATGACGAGAACATTAGACTTCACAAATACAGCTCTATTCTTTCTCTTCTCACAGATGGCTCTGATTCCAGAGACAAGCCAAAGCTGTACCGCCTTCAATTAAGTGTGACTGAAGTTGGTACAGAAAAGTTCGACGACAACTCTATCCAGGTATATGGTTATGCATGCTGCCTAAGCTTTTGCTGTAGTTCCCACATAGCAGAAAGTAATAAGCACATGCCAGGGAGCCAGCAGCATGTGGATGAATCACAATGATATGCCTTCTATTTAGCTGTAAGTCATTCATCTATTCTGAGCCATTTTTATCTAACTTAGTGTGTGGTGGGCAGAGTGTGTTTGTGTCAACTCCACTTTCAGAAACTTGGACTGGTTTGAAACAGTTCCCTTCTGTCTGTTCCTTCTATGTAGAAGGTGAAAGTGCTGATAACATCTCCTAGGTCTGTTTCAGGATGAAAGAGATAAAGTAGAGACAATCCTACCACTGGGCCTAGCAGATACCAGTAGCTTCCAATCAACATGAGATGAACATCTTAAGTACTTAAAGCAAACCTTGACAGAAGGAAGAAGCAGTGTCAGGATTTGACACTGAACTGGGCCGAAGCACTTTGTACCTGGTTCTCTATTGTAAAATGATAGGGTTTTTCAGTTCTACGATTAACTCATTCCGTGTGTGTGTGTGTGTGTGTGTGTCTGTCTGTCTGTCTGTCTGTCTGTGTGTCTGTGTGTCTGTGTGTGTCTGTGTGTATGTGTGTCTGTGTCTGTGTGTGTCTGTGTGTGTGTGTCTGTGTGTGTGTCTTTGTCTGTGTCTGTGTGTGTACATGCGTGGATGGAGACAGGGTCTCACTTTGTAGCCCTGGCCTGGAACTTGCTATGTAGACCAGATTGGACTGCAAATCATAGAGATTCCCCTCCCCTGCCGAGTACTGGTATCAAGGCATGAACCACCACAAGCCAGCTTGATTCATTTTTACTACAGTAGTAGAGCATAGGTAGGAATTTTTTAAAATCGTAATTGTCTATATAGATTTATCCATTAATTACTAAGTATTTAATATGACCATATATATTATATATGTCACACACACACACACACACGGGGCGGGGGGGAATTCACTTATTAAAAAAAGATTTTTAAAAATCCAGGGCTTTTTAGATTATATTTATCATAAAAGGATAATTTGCAGGGTTTTTTGTTTGGTTTGTTTGAGACAGGGTCTCCCTGTAGCCCCCAGCTGGTTTGGAATTCTCTGTGTAGACAAGCTAGGCTTGATCTCATAGACATCTACCTGCCTCTGCCTCCCAAGTGCTGGAATTTCAAAGCATGTGCCAGCATGCTAGGTCGGAATTTGCAGTTTTAAAATTCTGCTTTTAGATACTGTGTACCATGATGGGAGTGTGCTCTGTCTCTTCCTCTTCTCAGTTGTTTGGCCCAGGAATTCAGCCCCATCACTGTGATCTTACCAACATGGATGGAGTGGTCACTGTGACACCCAGAAGCATGGATGCGGAGACCTATGTGGATGGCCAGCGCATCTCAGAGACCACCATGCTGCAGAGTGGCATGAAAGTGCAGTTTGGCAGCTCACATGTGTTTAAGTTTGTGGATCCCAGCCAGGACCATGGACTTTCGAAGAGATCTGTGGATGGAGGCCTGATGCTCAAAGGCCCAAGACATAAACCTGGGTGAGTGACAGATCAGCATAATGATTTTAGTGTTTTGTAGATAAAGTAATTTGAATTAGATGCAAGTATCTTTTTTCAGTTTTTATTCTATTTTATTTATTTATTTTGTGTGCAAGAGTGTGTGTATGGGCTGTTGTTGGAGGTGCGATGACAACTCACAGGAGTGGGTTCTCTCCTGCCATGTGAGTATCAGGCTTGGCAGCTGTATTAGTCAGGGTTCTCCAAAGAAATAGAACCAATAGAATGAATATATGTGTATAGAGATTTATTAACTTAGTTCACAGGATAGAGTCCGAGTAGTTCAACAATGCTGTACCACACTGGAGAGGCTGAGACTCCATAGTCACTCAGTCCACGAGGCTGGATGTCTCAGTAGTCCCAATCTGGCGCTGAAGGTCTGACGAATTCCAAAAGACCAGCTAGTCTTCAGTCTACAGCAGCAAGACGAACTCACCAGTGAGAGAGAAGGGAAGGGGCAACAAAGCAAGAGCTCCTTCTGCCCTGGCCTTTTACACAGGCTGCCGTCAGATGGTCACGCCCACATTTAGGGTGGGTCTTCCAGCTTCAGATGATCCAGTCAAGAAGATCTCTCTCATTTCAGTCAATCCCAGATCCAGTCAAGTTGACACCCAGGATTAGCCATCGCAGCAGCAAACACCTTTATTCACTGAGCCTTGTTGTCTTTAAGACAGGGTCTCCTTGTAGCCCCAGCTGGCCTGGAGCTTCCTATGTAGAACAGATTGACTTCCATCTTAGAGATCTGCCTACCTCTGCCTTCTAAGTGCTGGGATTAAAGGCATGTGCCCCTATGCCTGGCTACAATGAACCAATTTGCTGGACCTTTATTTTCAGTTTTTTTAAAGATCAAAATGAAGTTTATATTTGGGATTTTATTCTTATTAATTTGGGTTGGTTTTAAAGCAAAAAAGATAAAGTTCTGACTCAGTCTTGAAATTGGAAGTTTTGACTAGCTTTCAAGTTACTTTTTTTAATTTTTAATTTTAATTTTATTTTATATGTATGCTGTATGCGTGTATTGCCTACATGTAGGTAAGTGCACCCGTGTCGTGCAGTGCCCAAGGAGGACAGAAGAGGCTGTTGGATCCCCTGGAACCGGAGTTACAGGCCATTGTTAGCTGCCATGTGGGTGCTGGGATTTGAACCCAGGTTTTCTGTAAGAACAGACAGTGTTCTTAACTGCTGAGCCATCTCTCCAGCTCCTTAAGTTCCTTTTTTTTTTTTTGTCTTTTTGAGACAGGGTCTCCCTGTAGCCCCAGCTGTCCTGGAACTCACTATGTAGACCAGGCTGGCCTCAAGCTCACAGAGATCTGCCTGCCTCTGCCTCCCAAAATAAGTTACTTATTTTTAAGAAAATTTCTTTTTAGCTGATACACCAAAGTAATTCTGTTTTGTTGTTTTGTGTGTGAAATCATTCAGTGTTAATGGGGTTTACATTTTTTTCATCTTAGTGAACTCCCCTCCTGACCCCTGAAAAACAAAAACAAAAACTGGTAACACACTCTATTTAAGAATGCAGAATGGGTGCTGGGCGTGGTGGCACATGCCTTTAATCCCAGCACTGGGAGGCAGAGGCAGGCAGATCTCTGTGAGTTCGAGCCCAGCCTGGTCTACATAGTGAGTTCCAGACAGCTGGGGCTACAGGGAGACCCTGTCTCAAAAAGACCAAAAAAAAGCAGAATGGGGGCTGGAGAGATGGGTCAGTGGTTAAGAGCACTGGTGGTTCTTGCAGAAGACCCGTGTTCAAATCCCAGCACCCACATGGCAGCTAACAACTGTCCATAACTCCAGTCCCAGGGGATCCGACAGCCTCTTCTGTCCTCCTTGGGCATTGCACGACATGGGTGCACTTATTTACATTCAGGCAATACATGAATACACACAAAATAATAATAATGAATTTAAAAAAAAGAATGCAGAATGGACGCCGGGTGTGGTGGTGTGCACCTTTAATCCCAGCCCTAAAGGAGGCAGGGGCAGGTGGATCTCTGTGAGGTTTAGGCCACTCTGGTTCACATCGTGGCTTCCAGGTGGGCTGTGACTAGGGAGACCCTGTCAAAAAACAATCAACAAGAAGACCCCCCCCCCCAAAAAAAAAGAGAGTGAATCTAGAATGGGGACTGAGGGATGACTCCGAGTTAAGAGCACTGGCTGTTCTTGCAGAGGACCTGAGTTCAGTTCCCACACCACATGGTGACTAACAGCCGCCCATAAGATCCGATCTGATTCCCTTATTTGGTCTCCTCAAGCATTGCACACGTGGGTTCCCTTATACACATGTGGACAAGATGCCTATTTATACACATAAAGTAAAAGTTAAATTTTTAAAGAGTGCCGAATGTCTTAGCTCCACCTAGTGTTATCTTGAGGTCTTGCAGTGTGGTGTACATTATTGGGAAACATGGATGAAGAGTGACTTCCCTTTTGTTTATGATAATTTGAAAACACAACTATTTTGCTACTTTATTTTTAGGTTGTTAAGGTAATGACTTGGAAAAACAGCCGCTGTAGCTCTTCTATTTAGAACAGCTTTCTAAGCTCTGCCCTGAGAAAGAGCACAGACAGAAGCTGCCATGTTGGTGGGCTATCTGCAGGTTTTCCCTTTCTTCCCACCACCCAGTGGTCACCTCCACAGAGCTGCTGTGTGGGACCAGCTGCTCCTGTTCAGAGTTGACATTGTCTCCAGTATGAACACGTAGTGATTTGTGACACATACTTGTTTAGGAAAAAGGATGTTTGTAAGGATCATGTGATGGTGTAAGGTGCATCCCCAGCTCTTAATACCTTGAGGTGCAGATTTCAGCAGAGGACTACATTTCTTATTCCCAAGAAAAACTGCAGAAGCTGCACTGCCGACTTTATAGAACAGCCCCCCATTCCTCCCTCACTGTGTTTCATCTCTTAACTGCATATGTGTGAGTCAGTAACCCTGTAGTCTTCCAGTGTGGATTTCTGAGTCTGTCTTTAGAGCCTCGCCTATGGTTATTAACAGTTCGCTGTACACCGTCCCTAACTTCTAGACACAGTACATGGTATAACCAAAGCCTTCTTGATTCTGTCTCTAGTTAATATAATTAACATTGTAGAATAGCATTCATAACGCCATGCAAAACTCTTCAGTGTTTTTCTTTAAAGCTACCCCTTTTAGGCTTTAATATGTGCTCAATTGTATTACATTCCGGGTGTGTAAACAAGTCCAACATAAACCAGGTGTGGTGAAATTACACTTGTATGTCTCTAGTTAATATAATTAACATTGTAGAATAGCATTCATAACGCCATGCAAAACTCTTCAGTGTTTTTCTTTAAAGCTACCCCTTTTAGGCTTTAATATGTGCTCAATTGTATTACATTCCGGGTGTGTAAACAAGTCCAACATAAACCAGGTGTGGTGAAATTACACTTGTAATTTTAGCACTTGGGAGAGACTAAGGCAGAAAGATAGTAAGTTTGTGGCCAACCTGGGCTGCATAGTGAGACCCTAACTCAAGCAAAAAAACCAGAACAAAACAAACCCCAACCCCAGTCCAAAGTGACTTTATACATGACTTTGGTGCTATCAGATTGTGACCTTTGACCATCAGCACTCAGAGCATAATAACAACACATGACAGTGCTCACCAGACTAGATTAGTTAAGGAAATAAATATCGAATCTGGAATCCATCTATCATCAGATGTCCCTAAAATCCCAACCTGTTGTCTTGCAGAAACTTAATTATAATTTAGCCTTTAGTCAAATCCTTAACTGTTCAAAAGTTAACCTTTTCAGTTGGGTCTGGTGGCATATACCTTTAATCCCATCACTCCTGGAGGTGGAGACAGGATCTCTGGTGAGATACAGGCCAGCCTAGTCTACCCAGTTCCAAGTCAACTAGGGCTACAGGGAGACTCTGTCTCAAGATCAAGCAAACAAAAACCAAATAAACAGAAGCTACTATCCAAAGCTTGATATTGCTTTACATTGCAAGATACTTTATTTTCTTAGTAAATTAAGTAGAGGAATTTCTAACTGAACAATTGAACTCTTACGTCTCTCCTTTCAGTTGATAAATTGAGCTTTGAAGTTAGAATGTGTAGTTCTCAGGTATGAGAACAATCCAGTAATTCAGCTCTTATTCCCGTCCTTGTTGGTTTCCAGGCAGCATTAGAT